TGACCACCATGGGGGTTAGAGTTATGGCTGGGATTCATATGACCGGGAGTATGATTATAGCTACGGTTGGTTAGTCTTGCACATACATCCCACCCTTTAAAACGTTGTCCATATTTAAATCGAGTAAAGTCCTTGGCATTGATAGCTTTATTTCGTGTTACATTGCGTGTATTTCCCCCTCCTCCTCTCTTTGTCTATCTATCTGTCTCCTCTCTTCTCTTCTCTCTTCCCTCTCCTCTTTCTCTCTCCTCCTCCCTATCCTCTCTTTCTCTCGCGCTCTCTCCTGTCTCTCCCTCTTTTTCTCTCCCCTTTCTCTTCTACCTCCTCTTTTTCTCTCCCCTCTCTTCTCTCTCCTCTCTTTCTCTCCCCTCTCTCTTCTCTCTCTTATCTTTCTTTCTCTCCTCTCTTTTCTCACTTCTCTCTTTCTCTCTCTCCTCTCTTTTTCTCCCCTCTCTCTTCTCTCTTTCTCTCCCCTTCTATCTTCTCTCTTTCTCTCCCCTTCTCTTTTCTTTCTCCTCTCTTTCTCTCCCTTTCCTCTCTCTATTCTCTCTCCTCTCTCTTCTCTTCTCTCTCCTCTCTTTCTCTCCCCCTCTCTATTCTCTCTCCTCTCCCCTCTCATCTCTCTCCTCTCCCCTCTCTCCTTTCTCCTATCTCCTCTCACCTCTCTCCTCTCAGCTCTCATCTCTCTTTCTCTCTCCTCTCTCATGTCTTTCTCTCTCTCCTTTCTTCTCTCCTTTCTCTTATCTCCTCTCACCTCTCTCCTCTCAGCTTCATCTTTATATCTCTCTCTCTTCATTGTACATTTCTCTCTCTTCTTTTCTCTCTCTCGTTTCTTCGTTCCGCTCTCTTCTCCTCCTTCTGGCTCTCTTCTCTCTCTCTTCTCTCTCTCTCTCTCTCTCGCTCGCTCTCTCTCTTTCTCTGCTCATCTCTCTCTCTCTTGCTTCCTCTCCGCTCATATCTTTTCTTTCTCCTCCTTCTCTCTCGTCTTTCTCTCTCATTCTCCCTTCTTCTCTTTTTCTCCAGCTCCTCTCTCTCTCTCTATATTCTTTTCTACCTCTGATCTCACTCTTTCTCTCTCCTGTCTTTTTTCGCTTCTTTATTCTCTTTCTCTCTCTCTCTTTCTATCTATCTTTCTCTATCTACTTTTTCGCTCTCTCTCTCTATTCTCTCTCTACTCTCTTTTCTGTCTCTTTCTTCTCTCTCTCTCTCTTTCTCTCTCTCTTCTCTTTATTCTCTTCTCTCTCTCTCTCTCTCTCTTTCTCTCCTCTCTCTTCGTCTCCTCTCTCTTTCTTCCTTTTCTCTCTCTCTTCTTCTCTCTCTCTCTCTCTATTCTCTATCTTCTTCTCTCTCTCTCTGTCTCTTACATGAGTTTCGTTACGGTTATAAATCTCCAGCGCGGTATTTGGTAATCCTTGATCAATTGGTTCAGTTGCCTAATATAACTTCTCACGATAGCTAATTCATCGGCTATTTGACATCTCTGGCGGTTTGTCAACTGCGACACATGTCTGTATGTATGTAGTAGTGGTGATTAGAGTATAGTGTGTGGACAGACAGCTCAGTTAGTTCGCGATTAACCAACCAAGTAAGAATATTAATGTCAGGCAGATATGTATAATTACTATATAATTATATAACTAATATATGAATAATTTACTATATATATATATATATATATATATATATGCGGGGAAAATATGGCGTCTGGCCCATATGCGTGTGACACAAGCCGTATTGGTCTATATCCTCTATGCCATGTATATATCCGTATGTGCCCTTATAGTAAGTAAGTGGTTAGTCTCCCTAATCCGAGTCTATTCCAGGATAATCCTACATTGTCAACTCCCGTTTTCCTAATCTGCTTGCATTCATTGTTTTTTTGTTTTTTTATTTCGTTTCAGATCGGGATATACCTGACTTGTACATGCAGAACGTGTCAAAATACGGTGAATGCCCAGAGTGTTATCTGCCGTGTCATCTGTCGTACGATGGCGCCACCTACGATGGCGAACTCTGCCACGATCTCCCGGGTGAAAATCGGACGCTAAAGCCGCTGCACACATGCCAAACTTTGAACTCAGCCTCTAGGACAATTCCAGAGTTCGCTCGGCGTGATGCTGTGTTCGCGGCGTTGCTAGGGTGGGTGTGGAGCCTCGCTGTCATGTACTTCGTCGTCGGATTTACGTAATGACGAGTGAGTGCAGAAGCCGATGGGGAACCTCGCTGGATGGACACAAACAGAGAGCGAGAGAGATCCCTCTCCAACTCGAACCACGCCACTGTTTTTTATATGGAATACTGGAGAATTTTTTTTTATACTAGTCAGAAATTCAAGAGGAATCACGTATACCCTAACTGCGTTCACGTGCGAGTGCTTGTGTCACTTGTCTTCGACGTGCAGCCGATGGTGCATAGCGTCGCTATCGCAGTGTTGCAATAGGCTGCGTGTGACGTCACTGAGTCGGACTGAGTCCTGTTCACACTACGCGTCGGCGTGAGAGGTTATGATCCTAGATACGCGAATAATCATCATGAGAAATGTCGAATAATACGCGGCAATGTGAAGTCCATGCGCGCTTGTACGCCTCACTCAACTAACCGCCCTACTGAATAACTTACCGATGATTACTTGAAGAAAACTCGGGGGGAAAATCTCGCGATGCTACATAATGCTTGATGCGACGCGTTAAAATTCGGCTGATTTGCATTTTATTACGTTTTTGTTCCTCGGCGGTTGATAATTTGCATTCTGAATTATTTAGGGCTCCCCCCACTCCCATGCCCGCTCTCCACACGTCCGTTCTGCAATTTGTTCATATCAGATCAGTAACGATTTCTTAACGCAAAAGTCTAGTATCGGTTCCCGGATGTCGTATACTATTATACACCGTTAATAGATATTAAACGCAACATACGAAACGTTCGAAATCTCCTCGTAGCGTACATACGTCCAGTAGGCTTGTTGTGTGGGTGTTTATAGACGCTGTATATGCATTGTGCATATTTATTCGTTATGCGTCCGCGTCGTGGCAAATCTCGGCTTCCCTGCATTCGCATGTAGTGCGGGCGGACGTGCGTGTGCGCGTTCGTGCGTGCATGCGTGCGTGCGTGCGTGCGTGCGTGCGTGCGTGTGTGCGTGCGTGTGTGCGTGCATGCGTGCGTGTGCGTGTGCATGCGTGCGTGTGTGCGTGCGTGTGTGCGTGCATGCGTGCGTGTGCGCGTGCATGCGT